GGCGCGGGTCGAGACCCTCTCACGCTGTATACAAGCACAGTCAATAATGATAGGCTGGGGCTTCGTAGTAGACTCTTCTTTCCAAGGCACCGGAAGTCTAACACGGCGTGGTTTGAAGCGGAAGGCACAAGAGATGCAGCACCTTGGCCCGGTCTGGAAGAGCCAGAGCAGCATTCGCAAGCACCGAAATCAGTCCTGCCTGGCTGTCGAATCCAAAATGAACAGAGTCATAGAGCATCTGAACGCAAGAAAGACTGCTCTGAGTCCCGAGGCTGCTGATCCGGCAGATGCACGCTGCCGGGGGAGCACGGGCTGAAGCAGCGCTGCAGCAGCCCGCGACAGAGCTTGAGCTTGTCGAAAAAAAGAACTTCGAGGTGTTCTTGGAAAGGGGGGCCAGGGGCCCCCGGGGCCACGGGCTGGGGCCGGGGCCGCCGACATGTCAGGTACAGGCGCGCGCCTGTCAGCACAAGCCTCGATCCAGGCCTGCCGTAGGAGACTGATCCTTGGCGAAGCTTCCAAAGGCTATCCGCTTTGGTCTGCTCCCAAGCGGCTGTTGTTGAAGTGTGACCCCGTCCGCTTCTTTGTAGGAGTCTGTCCCACTGTGCGCTTCGACCGCAACGAGCCACGGTTGCCAGGGTGGCTCTGGCCTTAGCGTTTGACGACGCGTCAACCGCTGCGGCTTTGGCATCTGCAGGCGTAGCGGCTGTCTGCCGAGACGGCGATTGCATCCGCTTCACTTGGGCCCAGCGACTGCGACTGCAGGTGCGATCGGATCCTCTGGCGCCAGGGGCGCGGCGTGGAGGCCACAGCCCCCTCGTCGGTCCGTCGTAGAACTGTTCACCGCGCCATCACCACTTGGTAAAAAACCCACACCCGCACCACACACTAGACGGGGTCGGAGCAGCCCGTGCCTTGAGACATCCATGTTGGGATTGATGAGTGCAGGTTCGAATATGTCGCATCGCAAAGGATAAAAGATGCGTATGGAGGCTGTGTCGGACGGGCGACAACGGACTTGATACGTGTACCAGACACACCGAGAAGCTTGTGTCACTGTGCTGCAGCGAGAGGACGATCCCCGACAAAATCACAGCTACGACAGCTGTCCAGCAGAACCGTTTGATATGCCCCAGACGACGAGGTGCCTCAAATCCGTTGCCGTCGATGCAACGAACGCGAGAGACACTGTGCGCAAGCAGAGGATGACAGCAGTTTCTCTTCGTGCACTCGAATCTCGCACCCTGCTGAACCAATCCTGTGTGTCATCTTAATGTGCAGAAGATGGCAACGGCAACGGTATCCATCCCCCTCTCAAGGTTACGCTGGTTTGCAGATCTCCAGTCTCGGGTTCTTGCCCTCTGCACTCCAGTTCAGCTTCCACACCGGAGTGGGCGAAAGGTGAAAGTGGCGTCGTATTCTTCAGTGGAGTCTTGCCGGCACGTTTGACAAACTTCATGTTCTAGGGCAGTGTCAGCTGGAATTCTGCATTGCGCAAGAAGCCGACATGTGCAATACTTGCACGTGTGGTAAGGAACCTAGAGGTAAACAGCCACACAACCACACCTTGCGGCTTGGTCGAAACAGCATGCGGCCTGTCCCGAATTACTTACTCGTACGGGCCTGTGAGAGGTCCGCCACATTTTCTGACCACCGCCCGGTCCACATGGTGCTGGGCTTCAGAAGCACATGGCGTTGCAAGCTGGGGAGACTTAGGGCAAGATGCCCCTTTTAACTTTTGCAATCTACTTGGTGTTAGAATTGCTACAGAGACCGTTGTCAAACCTACAGGACAAGTGCGAAAAGTGGAGTTTCATGTTTGGCAACGGCGTTCACGCCCAGGTGCTGCATGCGAGCTTCAAGGACGTGGAAAGCTGAGTAGTCGCGACACTTAGCCACCGTAGGGACAGGTGAGCAAGTGGCCAAAGGTCAGAATTGCTTGCGGACGGCGTGTTGCGGGACAAACCTGACATCTCAAGAATGTGGTCATGATGGGCGCGTGCATGCAGGGGGAAGGTGCCCTAGTGCTGCACTGTGTCGCCGCAGCTTGCTTATTGAAGTCTTTCCCCTCCATTCGTTTGCCGATTGGAGCTGTCCGCGCCCAAGATAGCCTGTGCAGAGGGTGCGCCTCCCATGCAAAGGTTTGCATAACCTGGTGGGTGGGATCGCCAAGAGTAAGAGCTGCGTAGGCAGATGTCTGGATGTGGACAATAAGTCTTGCAACACCTTTGAACAGCGTCCCAGCACTTCAGCACCGCTCAGGAGCTGCATGAGAGAGGTGGAGGCCGCAATTCTGGGCATGGTTTGTGAGCCGCTTCAATCGAATTGCCAGATAGCCAAGCTAGCCATAAAGCCCTGCAACACGTCCCAAGAACTTGGCAGGTGCGATGAAGGGTGGAGGCGACAAGAAGGATGTCAAGCAGGGCGTTATGGAGAACGCCTTAGCTGGACAACCTGGTAGATCAATAGTAATGTGGTCGCAAAGTAGGCAATATCCACAACCAGTTCTTTTGCATCCCCGTTCATGCACGGCACACGGTAAGAATGCAGCAGGATCCTTTCTTGCCCGTGCCCTTTTTCAGGTTCCTTATGACCAGTCTGCTGTGCACGGGCTCCCAGAGGTTTCTTTCGCACTTTGGAAGGGTCTGTGGACGGAAGAGGTGAAAGCAAGTTGGAATGCTCCTCACGACACGAGCTCATCACCGAGGCCCTACTGTCAAGCTAGAGTTACCAATAGCTGTATCGAAACTAAGGAAATGGTGCATGCTTACCTCTCGATGCAGTGGACGGTATCAAGGACGATTCCACACTAGACCCCGAGCAATCGAACACATCCCATCTCCACATTCATTGTAAAAACCGACAAGATCCGGCAAGACTTTGCATCTGTGTTTCCGAACAGAAGTTCAGCCCTACAGACACAGGTGCGTGCACACTGATGTCTGGCAAAATCTCGTCATGCTGAGATCTTGCTGGAGCCATATTGTGCTTCTAGCCGAGGAACGATGGCACAGACGAGGACACTCGCAGCATCGAGACACCGAACACCAAGAGGGAAAGAATCAAAGGTGGCTGCAGCACACTCAGGTTGTCAGCAAGACCCGGTTTTGCCAGGTGACAACCTGAAGCTGTGCGTGCAGCTCAGCATTGCCAGTTGTACATGATTGGTGACACGGTGTCACGCTGCTCCCTTCATGCAGAAAGTCGGCTGAGGTGGCTCCATCACAGAGTTCTTCTTGTTCCTCTTAACGTTCTCGTTGGCGATGTTTCTGAATCAGCTCCGGCCCTGGAACAACAGGCTCATCTCAGAGTCGCTGATTTTTTCTGCTTGAGGTCCGTGGCCACTTCTCGCCTCAGCGATCACATTCGCCTGGACCGACAGGGCGATGGAAGCTAGCAGTAGAGTCCAGGTTTCGGGAAAGCCAGATGAATGTCGAACAACAGCTTTGGGAAGATAGATTTCTGCCGTGCCTCCTGCATAATGAGCTGGAAGTTGAACTTGTCAAGCAAAGTCGAAATTGCAACTTGCAGAGAAGGAAGTGCACTAGGCTGGACATGCATGATTCGATGCATGCCATTCACTTCCTTTGAAACAACGCCTCACATGCCCCTTGCGCCTGCTTTGCAGCAGCATGGTTTCCTGCATCCCGCCGCAGAAACTGAACCCCGCGCATCATCCGATCACTCGGATCACTGACGTGGACACGCTCTATGCGTACCTGGAGGATGCACGGCCCTCAACTCAAGCATGAAGTATAGTTCCTCGGGGTGATACCAGATGCGAGGAATGCATTGAACAGGTGTTTGTTCCGGCGCTCTACAAGAACACCACCGACATTCAGCTTGCGGAGAGCATTTCACCGTTTGGGTCTCGAACCTCGTTGCTGTTCACAGTCCGAGAACAGCCAAGGCCATTTTCCCAAATCTCAGGCACCTCAAGCCCATCGACATCGCCAACCGGATGTTGGGCACGGTTCGACTGCGTCAGGCATTGTCCCCCACCGGCCCCTCCCGGCTATAGAGAATGAATTGTGCCTGCAGCAAGCCGTAGCATGCCGTAGCCTTGCATCTGGAGCCATCCATCTTCTTGCCGCAGACTTAAGGCCAGCTTCCTGTCCATGGCAAGTTTGCGTTCGCAGATGGCAGGTGCGCGTGAACCTCCAGGAGAACTGCCAGGCGTGTGTCGAAACGGAAACACGATCGGCTTTGGCGGGGGCTTTCAGGGAATCAGGCTCAAGTCGTCCAAGGCTTAAACGAGGCAAAAGTTACTTTGTATTCCGGTGGCGGCAGGTGCTCCCGTTGTTTGAACAGTATACTGTGTGGAGCTCAGATACTTGAATTGAATGTTCTTGGCCGCTTGGCACGCGATACGGAACAACCATGCTCTGCCAACTTCCACGGTCTGCGCTTCCATGGCCGATGATCGCGGAGTCGGGGCACGTCCCTAAGGTCAGCTGCTATCCCAACTACAGCCCAGGCATCCTCCGTGCTCGAAGCACTGCAAGATTGGTAAGATGAGAAGCCAGCACCACATTGGCAGGGACTGCCAGCACGACTCCCTACGGTCCTCAAGAGAGGCACGAATCGTTCAGCTAATGTCCTCGGCCGGCCTGTTTTGGAATCGCTGCAATGCACACTTCCGGACAGGTTTACATTCTCAGAAGACATAGTGGGCATTCCCTACACGGGCGCGCTCGGTTCGTGCGCAGATCAGATCACGCTTTGATCAACACACGCACGCATCGCGCGCTCAGCTCCGAGGTACTCGGCAGACGGCTTCATGCAGTTGCTAGCTTCCAACATGAGTCAGGCCTTGTCGGTGGGAGATGCTGGGATACTGCGATCTGGGACTGAGAAGTGTACATAGTGTACCATGGAGTACCGTGCTCTTGTAGGCCATGCAGCAAATCCAGCAGCTGAAAGTCGACGTCCGGAGTCCCGGAGTGCAGAAGTGTCCGAATGCCAGATTCAGTTAGGCTTCGAAATTCTAGTCCGAGAGCTTCATGAGCGGCAAAGATATCACAGTCGATGCGAGGGAGAGGGATTTCTTTGGCAGGGTCCGGCCTTGCGCTTGAGATGCGTCGAGCAGCGGTGTTGCACTCCGCTTCCAGGGCTATATGGATGCAGCCACCCGTGCATTCTTCGCGGAGCTCAACATTTGGAATTCCAACATCGGCCTGCCGGGGGACCTTGGAGACGAATCCGCCTTGCGAAGCTTTGACCTGGCCGCTGCCCGAGGTACGCCGTTGTCACCTTCGTGGTGGAGTTTGGTGCAAGTGGCGGGACAGCACAGGAGGCCTCCGTACTTTTTCGTCTCGCTAGAATCCCGAGAGAAGTCTTCGCTGAGCTTCATGTGCTCGGCAGATTATGATCAGCACAATGACCGAGCGTGTGCTGGCCCGAACCTGAGAGGGAAAAGCTCCCGGGCTCTCTACCAAAGCTTGGGAGAAGGAGCATCTCCAGGGTGCCTGGACACGCACCCGAGCATACCTCCCTGCAAATCACGAGCGATGGCAGGTCTTCGTGATTTCAGGGGGTCTTGATCCGTGTCAATGTTGGCTGATTCAGCATCAAATACAGACACGTTTCAATGGGCTCCACCTCGGGGACAAGGGAGGAAGGAGAAATGGATGGATAAGCCGGAACGGCTATGAGCCACAGCCTCTGAGATCCATACATGTAGTAGAGAGGAGAACGCATTCGGGCACCGTTTCCGGACACGTCGTTTCACAGCCTGTTCTCTGCTTGCAGACTGTGGGCGGCCTCGGCACCGCGCTGGACTGGCGCCTCGACTGCCTTCAAACGAAGCGAAGCTCCGGGAGGAGCTGGTGCTCTTTTCATTCGGGAGCAGGTTGGCATTCTCCATCTCACACACATCCTCTGACTGAGTTTGCAATAATGCTGCTGTGCCGAAGAACTAACTTCAGAATCGTGCGCGAGAGTTGAGGTTAGCTTTTGTGCTTCTGATTCTCGTCATGATATTCGTGGTGCAGTTCATCTTCGAGGCGCGTCTACTGGGCTCTACTGGAAAGCCCATGCGAACAAAACCTGTCCCGCGAAGATCCACGGCAGGAAGTTCAGGAGCTGTACAGCAGCTGGCGTACCTACTTCTTTGTCAGCATCCCAGGCTCAGGATTTGGACACAAGAGCCATGCCGGGTGAGGGCGAGACTGTCAATCAAGTCACGCACCCATGCGTGGGTCAGTTACATTAGGCAGAGCTGTCTCAGAGCTCGGCGAGTTGCTGAGGATGCATGGAATCTCCTCGACTGGGTGTGCCTCTGAGTTTGTGTGCATGTGCATGTCTCCATGGGAGGCCATGACCTAGCAGCGAGCATGATCAACAAGCAAAGCTTGGAGCATGAACTCCTCCGTCTCTTGCCCGGGTTGTGAGCCATGCGAAGCAGCATCATGAATGCAGACGAGGCTTTGCTAGAACCCTCTCTCTTAGCAATTCCTGAGTTCTTTCACTCCAGGCGAACATGGTCCTGCTGCTCATCGGATTCACCCTGCGCATGCTGCTCTTCTCCGACGTTGGGCCGGCATGTTCGAGCTCCGTCGGAGTCCAGCTGCTGCCTAAAAGTGTCAGAGGCAGCCAATGCCAACGTGGGCCTCGAGCAGCTCTCGAACGTTGCCTAAGACTCAGCAACAGAAAACTCTCTGGACTCTTCCAGTTTCAGGGACTCTCAAGCTCGCTTAGTGTAGATTTGTCGAAGTATAGCTACTCAGCTACTGATTAGTATCATCTGCAACGTGGTGTAATACGTGCGCGTGCACCGGAAGCCACAGCACTCCGGCTCGATGTCCCAAAACTTTTCTCCCACCCATCCTAGCGTTTGTCGGAGTGCGGCGGTTGTTGGACTGCTTTTGGAGAAGCATACTTGCTGCAGCACTCAAACGGCCATCAGCAGAGCCCGGTGGCTTGTCCAATCCAAGGATTCTTTTCAGAATATCTCAGCCCTGGCCAGCGCGGCCACGACAGCCTGCTGCCCAGCTACAGCTCTTTAGGCGGACTAAGGGCTCGGAGAACGGTGGCTCAGAAAGGAAGGCAGGAAGGCCGTGGCGCATGGGCTCTTAGTCTTAGCTCGTGAGGTTCGCGTTCTCAACGCCTTCAATTGCGCAGGGGGCCCGATCAGACATGGCAATGTCAAATATCCATACTGGCAGAGTCACTTCAGAACGACCTCTGCAGCTGGTTCTGCAGGTTCTTCTTTGGGGCAAGGTGACCAAGTACTTGCGGCATCTGCCGTTGGTGAAGGAGAGAGCTTTGATGTGGTGTTGGTTGGATGGTGAGTGGAGAGCTGTGCATGAAGTGACATCATCCGCATGATCCCCTTGACAGCTCCAGCGCGGGTGTCTCAATGACGCAAGCAGACACCGAAAGCATAGGAGTTATTGTAGAAGATGTTGGAAGCCCGTAAGCGCCAATGCTAGAGATTATCGCAGGAGCTGCAGACACAGGGCCCTGCCTTAAATCGCTCATGTGTTGCAGAATCTGATCCGAACGGTGTGGACAGCTTTCGATTTGTCCCAGCCCCGGCACGGAGTTTATGTGCACCATGTCGAGCTCTCGTCTGGTTCCTTTGGGAAGGTTTCTGCCGTTCCTGATCATGTTTGGGGTCGCTCTGGTCGGCTTCGTCATGGCCTTCAACGTAGGCGACGCTCAGCCTTTCCTGGAGGACCAGTGGAAGGAAGGTGCTGTGTTGCACCTGCGAGGCTTTGGTGACAAGGTTGCCGAATTGGCCAACTTCACCACGTCGGCAGTGTACCTGCTGGAGCCCAAGGATGCCAAGGAGCATCTCGAGGAGGAAGGTTATAGGACGCGGTTGTACCATCTTGCAGCTGAGGTGCAGGGCGTTCCTGAAGGACGTGCAGCTCATGCCTGTGTGCCTTGAATGGGATGCCTTTCTTACTACTGGGTAGGAGAGGAGCCCACAGGCCACAGTCAGGCAACTCATGCTTGGAGATGTTCCTGCGTAAGCAAGCCATAATCCTGCGACTGACAGGAATCAGAGCGCAAAATCCGTTGAAGCAAAGGCTCAGTTCATCAACAGCTCTCCTAGTCCTAGTCGCAATTTTACAGAAGTGGTGATGCCTTGATAGCCTGCAACCAGCAATGAGATGGGGAAAAGGACTGACTCGCAAGACTCGCAAGGTATGCCATCACACCTTTGTTCGGTGCCGGTTTGATTTTGCTTTTCTACCTGAACATGATCGCCGTGGCGGCCTCGGTTTGACCCCGGCGTTCCTGAAAGAGCAAGCCTTTCTGCCACGTTCGTCGCTTGATGGCCGTGGCTCAAGCTTGGTGTCTTTCGTCGATCTGAAGCTCTGAGGCCGCAGGCATAGGCACCATCTCTATGCAGAGCCAAAGACGGCTTGCGTCTAGTGAGTCTAGTACTCTTCACGTGCAGGATGTCTTTATCAATACAGGGAGGTGGCTTCGTCCGAGACCCGCGCGCTAGTTTGCTGCTGACGATGGCAAATCCATGGCTGCGCAGCCTCACTGCAGATGGAGTCTGCTTGAGCGGCCTTGTGAGCAAACTTTCCCCACACCCTGACCCTCCCTGCCACAGTGCTTTGAATGCATTAAACACATTGCTCTTTTGATTTGCATACCTCAGCTCAGGTCTTTGACAACAGTTGCACCTCATGTTCTGGTGGAAGTCCTCTCCTACATCACGCACGATTCTCGTCGGCTGAAGACCTTTGGCGCCCTGGCTTCCGGCTGTCTCTAGCAGTCTCAGCGGCTGCGACCAGAATTCAATTGACTTTTCACGTTCTGATTGACAAGGTGTGGTGTGCAAAGCTCTCACCGCAACTCTGGACGAGGTTTGTTTCTCAGTTGTGGAGGGCGGGCTTCAATGCTGAGCTGGCCCTGTGCACTTGTGAGGAGAGCGCTTGGTGGCATCTTTGCCAGCGGATTCTCGACGGCACGTCCCAGTCCGACCGAGTCGCAGACAGGGCGAAGGGATCGAGTCTTCCCAATACCAGGTATTGGTATGCTACCGACGACAGGCTGAAGGAGTGGCCGAAGCTCTCAGCACGAGGAGCAACTGCTGTTGAGAATGTGCTAGCATTGCCCGTCCAGTCTTCTGTCAAGTCTGGTTGCTTGGCAGGTAGGTTGCTTGATGTTGGTTGGTTGGGGCTTTAGTTGTCCTAGTCCTAGTATGCAAGAGCCAGCTCGTGTCATTGTTGCTGTTGCCCTCGACAGGCTTGTACCGAGCTTTGGAGCAATGGATGCCATTGGAAGGCCGGGGAAATCCAAGCTGTTCCGTCTATGCCGCAGCTTTGAGAGGCTTCTATGTCTTGGCCGGCGCCTTCCCCTGGGGCCTCATAGCACTGCTGCGCAGCCTGGCTCAGTTTCTGAATCCTTGGCGTTGTCTTCCGAGCTCGGAGAGAAGCGGCCAGGCATCGTCGAGGGCCGTTTGTGCGGCTCCATCGTGCGCTTCATGCCCAAAGACGATGGAGACTTCGCGGAAGTCCAGGTGCAGGGCAGGGCAGCTGTGGCCCGTTGACTGCTGTAACCAACGCCTTCCTGTCGGGCCTTTACACGAAAATCTTTCATTTCGTGCTCTGATTTGTGCAGTTTGGGCGTTGCATTGCTCACTCTGGTGGGTAGTCTGAAGCAAAGAACAGGCAGCCGGCTGACGAGATGCGGCTAGGGCGGAATCATCCGTTTTGCTTTTGCTACATATTGTTATGTATGCATGCCGATGTCAGGGGGCGAGCAGCGTTTCTGTGAACCAAGAACTTGAGAAGAATGTAAGGGCAAGCTACAGTCATTGTCATCTTGTTGAGACGCTAGGCGCGCCAATCACCCCACGCCCAAGCTGAGATTTCCATTGGTCTTGCTCCTGCCAGGTGCCATTGTTTGACGTTGCTCGGCCACAGACAGCTCTTGCAGTTTGTTTGTTGTCGTGGCTGCCAGTTAAGCGGGAGGATATGTCCCTTGCTCATGACCATGCTGTGACAGCTCTTCAGCTCTGTTAATAACAGACTGTCCAGAATGGCAGTTGATGTTTGCACGCCCTCGTGGTTTGTGCGAAGGTGTCGATCGTGGAAGACAGGCCTGGGATTCTCAGGACCTCCGATCGCAGCTCAAAGCTCTGTTGTTTGTCTGCCTGCAGATTCTCGTCAGAGCGGCTGCCAGCCCTGACGAGAGAAGACCTTATCGACCGTCAGGAGCTCTTTGACGGCATCTTGGCTGTCTGGCGCGGCGAGCCTGGCACCCGTGGAAGTGGAAGATATCTTGGCCTACACGCAGGACCTGGGCAACGGGCACCAAGTGCGGTGCACCCGTGGCAGTGCCGTGCGACGAGTCGCCTGCGAGCCCGCCCCTGCCTCTCTGTCTATGCCTCCGAGGAGTCCAGCGTCTTCTCCTCTCGGCGTCTCGCCGAGGCAGCTCGGCGGCAGCTCTCAGTGCGAACGACGCTGCTCTGCCCAAGGCCGCGCTGTTTACTCCTCGTCGGGCGCTGCGTCTGGCAAGCGAGGTCTGCTGATGTAAAACCACGATTCGTTTGGGCATTTTGAGGAAGCTGTTGCATCCGCCTTTCGCTACTGTTTCGGTTGTGGTTCGGTTCCAGTCAGGAAGCCATGCCCTCCACCCGCCAGAAATTTATTCTGCCTTGCCCAACCCTGTAATCCCTCCCTTATAATTTCTGTTGGATGCTGAAGTCCTAAAGGATCCCCCTGAAAGCTTTCAAGCTAGGCAAGGGTCTTGCGAAGACAGGTTTTATAGCCCAAGACTTTCTGAAGTGGGGATGGGATGCGAATGGGGGAGGAATGCTTTGAGGCTGAAGGCGGCTGGGGTGACTGGGAGAGGATTGGTTTGTATTTGTGGACTGGCTCGGCGGTTCGCGCTTGTGGCTAGGTGGTTCATGGTGTTCGGGCGGACTTCTGCCCACCCTCTTCACTCTTGAGATCAAGCGAGAGCTTTGGTTCCGGTTTGTGGTCGGGTTGGCCGCCTCATTGCGTAGTCATCTGAAGGTGTGCTTGCAGATGGTCAGAGACCAGAGAGTGGACCGAGCAACTAACGCAGGGGTGGTTGTACCACAGTTCTTCCGAGAGAAGCTCTGGTGACCTGGTGGCGTGCGTGACAGGCACCGACGATCGCCAAGACTGTGGCCGGCGATGGCGAAGGCCCAATCCGGTGAAGCTTGAGAGCGTTTAGGAATAGATAATCATGAATCTCACATCATGTTTTGATCCATCCGGTGTGTCACTATAGCATACTTTGGGGCTGCCAGGCTACGCAGCGCACGCCGTTGCCGTTGAGATGCCGCTGAATCCCCCAAGTCTACCAGATGATGGTGAGGAGAGTCTGTTGTGGGCACTCGCGTTCCATAGCCACAGTGTCAAGCTGTGCGCTCTTTCAGGGCTGCCGAACTTGGTTCCATGACAGGACCGGGACTCTGACGACTCTGATGTGCCGGACTCAGGGTCTCTGAAAGGTGGAGACTCACTCGGAGAGAGGGCCAAAAGGGAGCGCGACGTTCAGGTGTGGCCGGGGCCAGTCTGCAGCAGCAGCTTGTCCTGCATGAGAGCCAGGGACGATACAGGATGGTCCGATGGTGCTCCTTCGATGCTTTGAAGCTCAGCTCAGGTTCGTCTTGGAGAGTTGGAGAGCTGGACAAATCGGAGGAAAGTTTCCGATGTGGGGACGCAAGGGAGCGGGACCGCACCGTACCAGCCTTAACTCCTCCACAAAGCAAGGAAGCATCGCAATGTAGCAGCCGGAAACTTGAATAGCTTCTTTTGTGCTAGCTGCTAGTTTGCAGATGGATTTTTGGATCCTAGTAGCCCCCACAAGACGTCTCATAACATACTCTCAAAGTACTGTAGCTTGTTGGCCAAGGGGCTTGTTTAACCACCATATTCTTCGATACCACCCGCAGCGAGCACAGCAGTGATTGCAATATCTGCAGCGTTTCGAAGTGAGAATCCAGTCAACGGCCAAACAGCATCTCTTGCTGAAGGAGTCGCTTCTCCATCGTACACAGGCCAGGGCAGCATTCAGTCGCTAAGAAAGCCTGCAGGCATTCTCGAAACAATGCAGTCAAGAGCTGCACTGATAAGTACCTGCCGCGCCGAGGTCCTAAGGCAGCCCGTGTTGTGTAGTGAGCACTCAGGAAATGCTTCGGGACATGCTCGGACAGCCCACTTCTTAGCATATCCGACCAGCCTGTGCGTGTCATGCCCTGTCCAGTCGCGATGATACTCTTTCGTCTTCTTCCAACTTCACATAGGAGTGACTATGGCTGTCGCCACCTCCAATACCATGCGTCTTTCCCCAGGTTTCCATGCGACTTGGCCCTCATCCGCAGCCCAGACGAGTCTCTTGTCACCACCCTGACATATTGACACATTGACATGGCCGTTCAAGGAGAGCGGCTTCTCGGCTTTGGCAAAAACTGAGGTTTGTGCCATTGGATCCTTCTGTTCCCGGACTGAGACCTGGCCTCTATGTGGGGGATTACGGGCATCGCTTCTATGGCTGCTTGGCCAGCGCTGGCGAGTGACTCTGAGACACACATTCAACAGCTCCCTCCAAGAGAACGGAGGTCAGTTCCGCACCGAAGTGCTGTTCCTTGACTACATGGTCGCCGGAACCGTCCTTTGCTTTTCCGCGTGTTGCTGACAGGCTCCTTGACTATGTGCACCTGACCGCAGACGAACTCCGAGAAGAGGCTCAGGCACGTGTGCCTTAGTCAGGCAAACATCTGGTCTAAAGCCCGGCTGAATTTCGCAAGATTTCACGGGGCCCCCACATTCCACCTGCTTGCGCAACTGTGCTGCCACCCGGAAGATGCCACGGCGGCTCTTCATGCGCCCACACGGCGAGATGCCTCCTGCAGAGCTGGCTGCGCTCGCCGAGTTGGACACGCCGTGGCTTGACATGAACTAGAAGAAGCTGCAACCTAACAGCGGCAGATCCATTTGCTACAGACAAGTCTTGGCAGCCGCGCCTTTCGCCACCCTGGAATGACCTGGCATGGTTGCAGTTTACACTGCAAGAGCGACCGTTTGACTCTACGCCAGCTCGCTGGCATTTGCAGCACTTCAGCGCGTGCGTCCGTGTTGGCTGCTACGATGATGACGCGTGACGGTGCAAGTGCGTTCGTCCTCAGGCGCAGCCTCCTATGTATGGATTTTGCTGAAGCCTTTGTGATATCGTTCTCTCTTAGGTGGAAGTGGCTTTGATCCTTTGCTTCCCCGCCTTCCTCTGCCGGTGTCTTCCGTGTTTGGGATCTTCGAGCTCACATGCTGGCCATCGTAATTTCGTGGGGGACATGTTTTGTGATCATCAGCATCTTGCGAGCCGAAACCTGGAAACCTGAAACGTTTGGTGCTTCCTCGCCGGTGCTTTTCCACCGCCGCCTGCAGGGCCGCACGAGAGCAAAGGTCTTGCCGGAAGATCCTGCTCGTAGAGGTCCCATGTATTTTCTCAACTTTTCCAATCCTTGCGTGGTCTTCTTGTCTTGGTGCTTGGGGGGTTTGTGGTAGGCAGGGAGGTTGCCCGATCTGGTCTTCAAGACTGCGACATGATGGCCAGATTTTTTTGAGACACATCCAATCCTCATAGTGGCCGCGACAGGCGTGTGTCGCGTTTGCATTTTTTTGTGGGGATTCCGCCTCTGCCGTGAAATAGCGAGTTAGTGTTTTTGTTTTTTCCCGACTGCTGCGATGGACTTGCACACCCAGAGTGTCGCTTCGAGGGGCTACGTTCTTGCGCGACAGCAGCTGAAGCTCAGGATTGACTTCATGCGCGGCGTCAAGCAATGTGGCGCGCCTTGCCTTGTTGTGAGGGTAGACTCTTTGATTGGAATGCTGCTAGACTAGACTGAATAGACGCCGCTCTACCGCGCTTTCCACCCCTTCCCGCCCCTCCGCTCCCTCCCTCCGATGTCTGTGATACGTGTTTTCGAGGACGTGCATGTACCTCTTGGTGCGACCACCTTCGTGGCAGTGTGCTCTCCGCCAGAGGTGCCTCGTGGAATCCCCAAGAGAGTGAGCTGACTCTGATGGCCGGTGTTTCGTTCGAGCAATGGCAGGCTGTGGCAGTGCTGGCTGCGGGAGCGCCACCTCCCACACGAGTTTTAGATCGACAGAATTCAAGCTGCACTTCGAGAGGCTCACGAAACTTTGGGTTCGTGGCTGACTGCAGCTCCGACTGACACAATACCCTAGTCCCATAAAGCTGAGAAGCTCCTGAGCTTGTCCCTTGGAGATCCTTGGAGTTGCCCTTTGCCTGACCCTCGTCCTATGCTGAGGACTGGGCAGTGGGCAGCGGTTGCGCGGTCATGGCGCGGCTTTGGAACGCTGGCAATGCCAGGCCCATGGGAGATGTCAACGATTGCCGGAAGCAGGGAGTCACATTTGATATAGGCCGAGGGTACCCAAGTCACATGTCGCGTCAGAGCGACAATGATGTCACAGAACCTTTGCAAAGCCTGGCTCGACGGACCTGACTGTTGCTGCCGAGTCGCATACCTACACACTTTCGGAACCGTGATGAGACCAATGGAATGACCAAGGGGTGATATTTGGACGAAGTCACTCACTGCCCTTTGCCCCGAGGCTTTCAACATCCGAGCTGGGCACTGGGCTGGCTGGTTCAGCTCCAGTCTGCAGGAACACATCGCAGCCTGGTTGCGGCGATGAAGCAGATTCGGCATTGTGCAAAGTTCTGACAAGGTAAAGTCTGCTCTTCTCGGGCACTTCAAGCTAGCAGCTAGCTGACTGCGCGTCTGAAGAACACCAATACGGGCCCGTCAAGCACTTCCCCATTTTGCTTGGGACATGGCCGAGGCTTTGGCTTTGCCTGGGACCGGAACCAGGATGCAGTTGTCCTCAAATGGACACTTGGACTCGGTTCGTCTTGCCACGCCCGTCGCCACCCGAAGTAGCGATTCAGACAGCCCTTAACAGCCGCTCCGACCCGTATGTTAGAGTCTCCCAGGCTGGTTCTCCAGGACACGTGCCCTTTTCTGCAAAGAAGCTGGCTCCCTGCAGACATCCGTTAAAAAGTCTGGCCGCAGCTGCTGTCCTTGTCCTGAGCAAGAAGGGGATCTGCTTGATGAGCGCACTCCAACAGTTTCAAGGTCGGGCTTGCCTTGATGTTCGCGATGATGGCAGACGCGCTCACTCCTGAGCTGATGTCAATCCAAAAGTGTGAAGCACAATTGTGGGAGATCGCCTGTCCGTGCGTGTGCCCAGGCTGTTCATCGCAAAGTACAGCAAGGTTGTCGGGCTTGATTTCCGGAAAAGGTATTGAACGGTCGTAACCAACTTGGGGCCCGGGTGTAGAAAATCTGGAATCAGTGGTTTCGAAACTTCGCCATCTCGCCTGTGCGAGAAAGCCGTTCAGTAATTGATGGCTCATCATAGCTAAGCCCCTCAGAGCCTTAGACAGCATCACTGATCAGGAGCGGGAAGCCCGGAATGCTGAACGAGCATACTGGAATGAGGACCGCCTGAATACTTAAGGATGTCGGGAGTGGGGTCGTCTGTTCGAAGTTCGAAATAACAGAGGGTATGCAGTTCATCCTGATGGACCGTGGTGTGCTACAAGAGTCGGGGAGATCAGAGTATCCCAGAGCAGGGTGCATGTTCAGGAGACGACGAGGGAACTGTAAAGCATCGCAGACATCCACTTCATGTGTGGCTTCGGGCAGGACGAGCCCCTGGAGGAGGTTTATCGGAGGGTCAGCGGCTTCATCCAGAGGCGCAAGCTTCCCGTACTGCACAATCCATCCGGAGAGAGCGAGAGAGAAGTAGTTAGCAGTTAGCAGAAAGAAAGAGAAGTAGTTGGAATTGGATGCTCACTGCAGCCAATAACCACTCTCGCAGTTGCACCTGAAAAAACCCCTCATGCACAGAGACGCGCCTGGTCCCCTGGAGTCCTGCAGAAGAAAAGACATGAGATACCGAACGCACTGCAGGCATTCACACTTCGTGGTGTTACCTGCACGGCAGTGTTCCGAACAGAAGTCCCAGCACCACGGCTGACGCAGAATCATGATCCGCTTCTTCCCCATGATCTACGTCAGATACCGCAAAATGACCGAAAGGCCAGCTGCGCTTCCTTTCACTCTCGCACAGGCTGAAGCTGATGTAAGCGCACGAGAGGTTGTCGACGCCCGATGACGATGCGGGCTCTGATACCTCCAGCAAGGCAAGTAAGGGTGAGCGAGGAGCGGAGAGGACCTGGGGTTGGAGGTCTGTGCGTCTGTGCGAACTCGGATGTCTGAGGGAAGGCGCAAGCAGGCGGCCCTGGAGGACAAGAACGAGCGTGGCAGCGCTGGGCGCGCTGTGCTAGATGCGGTTTCGAGGCTCGGCTGAGCAGGATCGTGTCGGACTCAAGTGCCAGGGGTGGCAAGAAATCGACAGATGACGATCTGCAGCCCCTCGCTCAGTTTGAGAAGTGGTCTCTTGGACTGCCTTTTCTGCGATCCTCCTCCTGGCAGTTCGAGCCACTCTGGCTTCAGCCACGACAGCAGCGAAGGGCCGCTGAAGCCTGGGGCAGAGGACCGTCACGAGCTTGGTAGGCCTTAAGCCTTAGGAGGAGCAGGGAGAGACGCTGCAGTGCAGGAGCTCAAGCGAGCCATAGAGCACATGTCAAGCCCTCAGCGCTGAGTTGGCAGTATCGGAGATGGGGCTTAAACAAGCTCCTAGCAAGTCCTCGTCTTGAACTTTAGGATGAAAGGGGTCCTGGAAGCACAAGAGTGCAAGCGAGGGAACGAGTCGAGGAGAGAAAGATAGACAGACACGCACTTTGTGTATGAGAATTGGGCATGCAACAATGCTTGCGTCATGGACTTGGACGCTTCGGACAGAGTAACTCACACGCACACCGAGGTTGTGTTTGTGGCATCTGTGTACAGCAAGTGCTTACCAGCAACGCCCGTGAGGGACGAACGATGACAAACAATGAGCATCTCCCAGACCTGCTTTACGTCAGATGCTATAGCAAGGTCCGGACGGATTCTCTCGGAACTGACCTTGGTGGGAATTGAAGTCAAGCCTGGAACTCATTGGATGGTTGCTCCTTGCATATCTCCGCACACCGTCAAGCTCGGCGACTTCCAACTAGGTCCGAGCTGCACGACGTGACGGAGCGCATTGCAGCAGCCCCAGCGCCTCCATGATGCGTGCAATAAAGGGCCACTTCCAGCTGCATGCCTCCAGCCTCCAGGCTCAGATGCAGATGGCCGTCGAAGAGCTCGCCTGGAGAATGGAGAAGGCGCCCGGTGCACAACACGTCCGACAGCTGAGCCGAACCAAGCTTAGGAAACAGCTCAGAAGCTGCATGCTGCTCTACTGTCGCAGACCGACATTACAGAGAAGAAGGCTGAGTGTTGACTTTTTCTTCCTGACAGGTGCGAAGTGATCAAGATCAAGAGATGGCCGATCCAGAAGATGCCATGTGATCAGTAGATGTGCTCACTTACGTAAGGGGAGGCTTGTTATGAAAAGTCCAACTACCAGCACTTCTCATAGGTTGCCATGGATAATCTCTACAAGCGAACACACAGCCCGGAGGGCTGCATGTGTCAAGCTCGCTCGGCTGCAGCTGAAGCAAGCGGTCCAATTTTCGTTGGGATTAGGTTTGCTTGATGATACGGTAAGCAAGTATTGAAATTGACCAGACCTGCTTCACTTGCAGTGGCGCAGTGTCACTCGCTTCCAGAAACAACCTGAGAGCGGAGAATTCGACAACAGCCTTTAGGCTCCTCTCTGAGTTTCTGCATCAAGCTGTGCTCGCGAGTATCACTTCCCTGCATTGGACCGTTTTGTGCTGCTGACTTGCTCCTCAGGTCTACGCTGGCATATGTTCGGCCTATTAGCCTATTGTTGATCGTCATATGTCACGTTATGTGAACAGGCAGACAGTAATATGCGGCATTCACGAGTAAGTCGTGACCAAATTGGCGAACCCGCTCTGACTATCTCCGCATTCCGGAATGACGACGAAAACAGGGTCCACAGAGCTGCGGCACCTCGTGGATGGGTGCTTGGGACGGCAAGTTTGGCATGCTCTTGTGCATGCAATGCCCACAAGCAGAGTCGATCTTGAAACGCAGTGCAGTGGATTCTGAGAGAAGTCCTATTCGCTTGGCTTAGCCATGCTTAGCTCGTGCCTATTCTCTGCACGTTCAGGCCGCCGTTCCCATTGGCTGTTGCAGGCCAGGCTCTTGCGTGCAACAGATGGGAAATGTGCACAGTGGCAAAGAGGTAGGCCTAGAGTGCATTGAGCAGATGCCTTCGTCCTCTTTCCTCGGTCTACTGTAGCTTGAGCTGCCAGGCGCTCTGCTGCAGCTAGGAACAGTGCACTATGTCTGGTCCCTTGGCAGTAGTTGTCAGTACCAGTAGTTGAGTGCAGGAACTGGCAGTTCGTGGCAAATCTGCGGGCGAGTCTTGCAGGTTTTCCTCGGCTAAGGTATGCTTTTACATCGGCACATGATTGCCTGGCGGATCCAATCAGCTGCCTGGCACGGCCCTGGGATGCAGATCCATTCGGCCGGACGGTGGTGGCTTTTTTGCATTGTTCGGGAACGAGGTCTTCCGTTCAAGGTTCTTCTTAATGCAGTCTTTCGCACCTGCACGTAGCATCCTGCCTAGGTCTTCGTGGACGCATTTGTGCCTTGGCATCACGCAATAAAACTGCTTGAGTGCTTAAGGCTTAAGCATGAACCCGGTTGTGATTTGGTTAATGCGAATACACATCAACTGCTGTGTCCAAAGAATGTCACCCCCTAGACAACAAAACTTATGTATGCTTCCAGCACTCCGGAAATCATGGCCAACAGAACCGACAGATCACCACCTACCTGCAGGGCTTTGGTTCTTACAGTTGTGCTTCAAAGGCAGGAGTCCAGCTTCAGAAATCTGAAGCTCGTTTTCAAGACAGCCGTGAACATCCACGTTGTCTCAGGAATCTCGGCAGAATCGCCGACTGCACAGCCTTCCCTCTAGGCTTTCATCCCCACTCACGCCGGCCTGAGCTGCCCTAAACCCTCCTTCGTTCCTGGTTAACCCAAGTACTATCAAACAGGTCATGTGTGAACACTTGTTGGAGCATGGGTTTGGAGTTTTTGTGGATGGATTATACGTTGGACATAGAGCTGAGTGTCGGATTTCTGGCAGTTGCGGTTTCGGCTTCAAGAGGCGAGTGTGCGGGTTGGATTTCTTTTGTCCCGTTGGCTGAACTGAGCAGCTGACTACCGACTTCTGCGTCAGGGGCTTTTGCTTTTGCTAGCTGTCGAAATGCAATTCGTGCTGGAGGCATTGACTAATGCCGTCAGTGCAGCCGGCGGAACTCACGTCTTTCATCAGTTTCAACTCCACGACTCTAATAGACTCTAAGGCGCTTTTCATGTGGTTCATCTCCTTGCGCACGCTGCCGGGAACCGGGACCTCCGACCCTTCAATCGTCGAAGCCTGGCACAAATTCAGCCTTAGCCTCGGCCGAGTCTCGGCCCCTTGTCATGCGCTTCTGTTGCTGTATGCGCCGGTGTCAGGATCGCCTGTGGTCGATTATGCCGTGGCTCTATGCTTGGCAATGGTTCGCTGCTTCCTGTATGCGGGGCTTCAACAGCCGTCTGCTTATCATGGCGTTGCTCTCCAGCAGCTTGACCCAAAGCGACTCACAAGCTACCGACAGCTGTACTGCCGGGCAGCTGTACTCTTTCAGGTGTCTGGGGCTTCCGCTTGACTTACAACTTCTGGATCAAGGGCGGCTTCAGTGGTGGCGAGGAATGCCAAAATAAGCAGCACATTCCAGAGTGTCTAGACATGCACCGGCAAGGGTCACTCTGATGTCTTGTGCTTGGCGAGGACTATCGCTGGGCAGTTGTGCGCCAATGGTATCCAGGTTGGCAGTGGGAGGTTTTCAACCTCCTCTTCATCTGCCTCTTCCAGCAGCGTCTGGACTGAACATGTGAAGTGAAGACTTGAAGAGCTGGCTGTAATCATGTAATCCACCCAGAATGCCTCAGCTGAATGTGGCCCTGCTACGAAATCTTGCGTGATCAGGTGCGCGATCTTGGCCTTTACTGTCCCAGCAGTTGCAGCGCTCCAGTCGGACGCGCCCCTGGCCTGGCTGGACATGGTGGCAACGTGTTTCTACTTGCTTCTCTGCCTGGGTGAGGCCAGGGCACGAGCAGTGCACGAGCCATGAGCTGCCTGAGCCATGGGAAAATGCAGTTTTCTTCTGAATCCTGCGGCGGGTCTTTAGTCTTTGCTTTCGGTTGCATTTCAGAAATTGGGATGCTCCAACCAGACTTCCAGCAGAATTGTGAGATGCCCACGAAGAAAGGCCGTCGCGGACGCGCAAATGTTTGCGTTCCAGACGGAGAAGTACCGCCGCAGAGCAGCGGGCGAAGAGATGGGAGTTTATGGAAAAGGATTCATCCAAAGCGGTCTCTGGGCTTGGTCGCGGCATCCCAATTACTTCTGCGAAGCTCCTCGCCTCGACAGTGTAATTCTAGCACGTGGGGGGCCATGTCGGAGCCTGAGGTTACGATGTGGTGGGTCTTCTACCTCTTCAGCATCATGGCGATTTAAGCTTTTCCTCACCAGAAGCTGATTCGAATTGATCTTCGAATGCGACGGAACTGCAAAACAGCCCGATGCTCCGGCAGGCATACCTGCTACCGGAAAGACAGTCAACTGGACCATTTTGGGACCCCTCTTCTTGAGTGGGCTGTTCCTGATACCTGGTGCATCTCTGGATATTACGGATGCTCAGCCCGAACTGGAGGTCACTCAAACGAGTTGTAGCCATCTTGCCTGCGGTGTGCCTCTGGTTCTCAGAGTAGTCATAGGGAGGGACACTGTTTAGCTTGACAGCTTGCAATTCAGGAAGCGCTTTCCTCCAGCAAGTACCCGGAGTACGAGCGATACAAGCAGCAAGTCAGCAAGTTCTTCCCACTCCCCCCGCGGAGGAAGGAAGGCTTGCTGGCTGAAGCTTGAGCTGCTAAGCCGACCCAATATCCAAGCTTATAGGAGTTACCTTAAGAATGCTGTGGTGAAGCATCCATGACAGCTTCGCACACGTCCAACACCCCTGAGGTTGAGTCGCGGAGAGAATCTTTGGACAAAAAGTGCGTGGACCGCTTTCGGGGTTTGTCGTTGCTGCACCTAAATGTTGTTTACCGGTCTTGCTGCCAGATTCAGCAGTCCTGAAGCCATTGAAGCTCGAAGCTGGCACGTCAACTTGTCTTCCATTCTGGACATGGCGAGAAGTCCGACGATGCAGCTCGCTTTGCTGGTGCTGTCCTTGCGGATTGTAGGCCAGCCGCTAGCCGACATTCCCGCCCTGCAGATGAAGGTTGCAAGCACTCTCAGATGTCGGCAGGGTTTGCAGTTGAGTTTAGGCAAGAGTTCTCAAGGTACTACTGTAGTAATACGGGTTTAGAGCCCAGGACGTTTCCCGTTGCACAGCCAAAGCCTGAGCCGCCAAGCAACCTTGCAAAATCCGATGCATAGGAGTAGAAAGTACATAAGAACGAGGAGGACGGGGGCTTGACTGAGAAGCAAGAAAGCTTTCCATGCGTCAGGGGCCACACAAAGCAGTCTGCAGAGCTTCACCGTGTTCTCGGATCCAATCTTCCTTCGCCGGGGCGAAGTCCACAACCGCTCCTTGCTTGGCACTATCAGAGAGGCAGGCAACTCTCAGATCGCACAGGCCGCAATTGAAATTGCAACACATGCGGCGCTCTCAGGATACGTTCTTCCAAAGAAGCTGCCGGACGAGATTGTGCACCATGGCGGAATTCGCCCACATTTCAGATTAATGGGCTGCGGCTTAGGCTTAGGCAACAGCAGCAGCAACAACAACAACGGTCAGAGCGCTGTCCTGCGGCAGTTTCCGCAGAGCTTGTAACCCGGGCTGGTACCAGTTACTAGCTGTTACGAGCTGCCGCTCCTGCGATCTCCTGTCTTGCTGCTCCTGCACCGCACCTGCTGCAGGCAGAAGTTTGCTGGCAAGACCATGCATCTGAAGAGCGTTGACCTCGACATCGTGCTGGTCAACAACAAGACCGGCGAGAAAGTGCCAGCGCCGCTGTACATGACATATAATCACCATCATGCCTTGCTGCTGGGAGCTACTGACAGCATGATGAAGCTCCTGAGTTGCAGCAGAGTGGGCTGTGACACGCAGCTGAAGTTTAGCATCTAACTTAGAGTGCCGAATCGTCATGCACCGCAGGTTGTACAACAAATCGAAGGACAAGGATCCTCTTGACCCACACTCGTCCCCTGATCAGACGGCCAAGCACCAGCATCATGGATGCGCGATGCAACTAGGCAATTGACAAAGAGCTTCACTCCAGGGTTGCGATCATGGTGCAGTCCAGTACCCCGCGCTCCATGTGTGTATGTGTGTGTGTGTGCGCATCTGGGTCATGTCATTCAGATAAAGCAA